TGTCTCACTAACACTTTGCAGTTGTGAATGTTTCTTGTTTTTTTTTGTGTGTGTGTACTAAATGCTGATGTTGCAAAAAAAAAAATCTCACTTGTACTTCTGAGAGAGAGTGATAAAATGTGTGCATGCTGCAAACTGCTAAATGCTTGGGCTCTTAAACATCATGTTCCTGACTTGGAACCAAGTGAAAATATGTCTGTGAATTGCACCGCATGGACTCCTAAGGGGCGGCGGGCTTGTGAGCACTGTTGTTATTGCTTTTCCTGTGGCTATGTAATCCTCTCAACCAAGTGCTAATGACCCAAAAGTGACGGCTGGTCTTCTGGAAAGTTATTGTCGAGTGGGCAGAGAAAGCTGGCTTGACAAAACAATAATGCTAGCAAGGTTTGGCATTCACTTTCATTCAAATTTAGCAACATGGAATCTGATGCAGTGAGTATAAAAGAATCAAATCTGGTTTACATGAATAAGACATGTTCCAGGATCAGCATCCTTTCTTGATTCTGAAACAATATTCCTATCTTAACCTGCCCTTAAAATCAATAAGTGGTTGAGAACAATGACTAGTATTACATTTCTGGCTGATACATAAGCTGATTATTATTTTCATTTTCTATAATATATTCAAGTTCTATAATATTTCTGCCTAATAAAATAAAATATAAATAAATAAATGTTACAAGTGAATTTAAGCATCACAAAATTATAATATATGTTATGAAAAATGGATAAACATTTTGAGATTTTCTAAAGATTAAATTTAACAGTAATTTAAATATAAAAATAGAGGAAATGAGCTTGAAAAAAAAATATCCAATGTCTACATTTTTAAAAATCTATTTTAATATCGGCAGATAACCATTAAATGGTCAATATTAAAACTGTATATTATTTTGTTTAACATTTTTTTAAATAAAACACTAAAATCAATCAATTTAAATGCTACAAGTAAATATATAGGCATTACAACATTATAATGTGAAAACATATTTTGAGATTAGCTAAAGATTATATTTAACAATGTTAAATTATTAAAATTCTTAGTGTTTTTAAAGAATAACTAAGTGAAATTAGATGACGGCAAAGGCAATTTAAAAGTAAAAATAAAGGAAATTATCATGCATAATAAAATATGTAAAAAAATCTCTAATAAATCCCCCAAAATTTCTTTAATAAAGCAAAACGATATTACGCCGATATATTGTACATCCCTAATTAAAAAAAAAAAAGTTACATCACCTAATTAACATTCATGAGAAAGATTGCCACAGATGTGTCACCTCCACATTCCTAAAATCTAATTGGTTGCTTTAGGAAAGATGATTCAAGACCATGACCAAATTCAGTCGCTACAGTGCCAGAGGCCACGTACAAAGTCTACTTCCTTGAAGACAATCCAGGAGCGGACAGGTTTCCTCCCCGGTATTGTGGGGCAGACATGTTCTGTGATCACTCCACAGGCTCCATTCTTCTGAAGCAGGCAATTTTTCGCTGAGTCAGACCCCGCTATTATCCGATGTCTTCCTGGGGTGCCACTCTCCCCACGCCATCCCACAATGCCTCCTCCAGGAAATGGAAGAGAGAACGTGTTCAAATAAGTGTGAGCACCCGAGAAGCATGGCCAGTGTTTGCTCATAACCTTTCCTGACCTTCCAGCAGACGACAAATACATTTACTACAAAGGGTGCCACGAACCGCACTCGCTTCCCGATTTACCACAGATACGGTTTCACGCAGAGAACACAGAAGGTTCTTATAAACTCAGAAGAAAGTCTTTTCAAAACTCTCAGTACATCTGATCAAATTGTATCAAAACAGAATTGCTCGCCCTTTCTTGGCATCTCCTGAAATCCATCTAGGACACAGCAGTGTCTTTTTTTTGAAGCAGGCTATTTTTCGCTGAGTCAGACCCCGCTATTATCCGATGTCTTCCTGGGGTGCCACTCTCCCCACGCCATCCCACAATGCCTACTCCAGGAAATGGAAGAGAGAACGTGTTCAAATAAGTGTGAGCACCCGAGAAGCATGGCCAGTGTTTGCTCATAACCTTTCCTGACCTTCCAGCAGACTACAAATACATTTACTACAAAGGGTGCCACGAACCGCACTCGCTTCCCGATTTACCACAGATACGGTTTCACGCAGAGAACACAGACGGTTCTTATAAACTCAAAAGAAAGTCTTTTCAAAACTCTCAGTACATCTGATCAAATTGTATCAAAACAGAATTGCTCGCCCTTTCTTGGCATCTCCTGAAATCCATCTAGGACACAGCAGTGTCTTTTTTTAATCTACTGCCCCAACAGGAAAAATAAAGCTTTGGGCTTTGTTTTTTTGTTAGTTCTGTTTAGGAGTATGTCTCTTTTCACTATTCTATCATTAAAAAGGATGTATTTTATGGTCAAGGTACTAACTCCACCCTGAAATTCTATTTAAACTGTTGCATAAATGGTAAACTAGATGAAATTAAGGAAAGAAAAACTGTTAGACCACCTCTGATTAATGCTGTATGGGAGGTGAATAATGCTCTGTTTAACTGGAACTCTGAGGTTTGGGTTTGTGTCAGGAACTGACTCATTTAGTGACTGATTTCACTCTGACTCTCCCTAAGCTGTTGTTCTGGCGTTTCCACTGAGCTGAGGAAACATTAAAGGAAAAACTGATTTCATGATAAAATAACCTGCACAAAAAAAAGCTCTTCTGTTCTCACCAAACCTCACAAAGTCATGATCTATATACACAATAATAATCTATCTATCTTTAGCTATAATATCTATTTGTTTCTTTCGTAACTCATTCAAAAACATTTCCCTTTTTTTCTTTCAGAAATGACTTGTCTTGTCTATAATCTGTCTTTCACTCTACTTCACTCAAGTCTCTCTGTCTTTCTTGTTTTATTTCTGAATTCACAAAAAAAAAAAATAATACTTTTCCGTAAACTAAATCCAGCCACATTTACAAGCTAGCTAAAAGGGAGTCCAGTGGTCAGCCTGGAGCAGACGTGCTGACGTCAGTGGTAGAGTTCCAGTAAGGGTCTCTCTCTGGCTATCTTTGGTCTCGTGAAGTGGTGGGCTGTGTGGAGAAAGCGGTCCTTTTGTGACAACAGAGTTTACCTCAGGGCACGGCGTGGGCCTCCCGCTGCCCCGGGCCACAGAGGACTCCCTATTGTTCCTGTGTTCCCTGAACAAAGCTGGCCACCCGTGCCCCTGCTACACACAGTCCCACTGAGCCATTGTTCCGCTGACAAACTCTCAACCCAAATTTCATTACATATGAATTTTCCTTTGTCGCCCCTTCAGGCCCCCCTCTCACGTTTTGCTCCGACAAATCTTTTCGGGTTTCGTATTCCACCCCCTCCCCAAACCAGTTATCATACAAGACTTGTGATTATGCATGTCAAAAGAAAAGGATGAAACGGCAATGAACACATGTAACTCGCAGGACAAACATAGTCTGTATGGTCAAATTTAGCAGCAGTCTACACCGAAAGCTCTTTTTCACTACATTAAAAGTCCACATTTTTCTTCTTTTGATCAGCAAAACTATGACGCAGATCATAAGCACCTGTTGCTTAAATACTTGGCATCTTCGCCTCACATATCTGAACTTTCTTCTTAAAAATACAGCAACACTCAGCAAAACTTGGGATTATTTTTGACCCTTCAATTAAAAATTTCAAAATATCTCACTGTTAAAGACAAATGTCTGACAAAAAGATATTGTTTTTTTTAATGAAAACCAACAAGATGGAGGGAATATTTATCAGGTCGCAAAAGTTTTTTTTACCTTTCTTTTGTCCCATTTTGTTAGCATTTCCCACATATACATTTCTAGTAATTGCATTAGACAAAGTTGAAAAGTGTAATTTATTTCCTACTAAAACTGTATGGAAAGCAAAGGTACATTAATTACAAGTGCCTAACTAGTGTACTTTGGCTACGTAAACAGTCTCTCCCTCCCTAAACTTACTCAATCACCCTCTTTGCATAAAAAGACATGTAAAAGAAAGGACAAAATACAACATAATGGTGTTGATAAGCTAAATTACCAGATAACATCGAGGCACACACAAGCCATATGGTGCCTCCACCACTATCGCCTGTTGCTGGCATAACAATGGAGTTGGCTAGACGGTGAGTGGCAGCAACAGTCAAACAAATGGCCGTTCCTCTGAATTAGCCCAGCGCCAGAATGAATACACACAGTTCAGCATCTTTCAGCCTACAGGTGCGCTTAAGTGGCAAACCAGATGTCAGCATGGGAGCGGGACTGTTTGTGGAGTAATTCAGCCGCTCCACGAGCCCCTGCTTCAATAACAGCAGGAACAATGAAGGGCCCCTTCCCCCAGTTTCCCACAATCCCGTGCTCCCAGAGGAAGCCCTGTCTACTGAATCTGGCACATTTTTTTCTCTTCTGACAAAGTTTCAATTCTTGAAAACAGAAAGAGAAAACAGATAAATAAACTGTTAACAGGTTCTCTCCCTCTGAAAGGTTACATTACAATGTTATACATAAAGTTCATTTTTAAAGGCCATGATTTAGTTACAGAGAGAAGAAAACAAACAATCAGATCACATATAAGCTTATAAATGTCAGTTTCAAAATTAACACTTTTTAGACCATATGGTCTAAACACTTCAAGATAATTATTAGGTTTTGATTAAATTATATTTAAAAAACGGTCACACATACTGGTTTTTATTAGTGATATGTACTGTTTTGGATTGTAAGAATTGGTGTTTCCATTTTAAAAGGGTCTATCTACTCTGTTCACAGAAGTTAAATAGACTGGCAAGTCACAACAGCAACACAATAGTGAAGGGGCTCGACCTCATCTGAGACAACAAACCACTGTCAGACAGCAGAGGGAGAGGGGCTAACAACAAACAAGAAACAAAATACTAATAATTCTTCTCCTTCTACTACAGTATAAGGCATGTACTTGGCTTTTAAATGCAAACTGAACTGTAATAAGCACATAAAGTGTACATGCATTCATTAAACTTTTCACAATGCTGAAAAACACATTGCACAAAATTAAGCCCTCCAAGTCCATTCAGTTAGTTTATCTTGCTGATATCTATTACATGTTTTTTTTAATGGCAGATACATACTTTAAAGCTGAAGAAAAACATACAGACTTACTATATTGGAAAATAGCAGTAAACGCATATTTCAAGTCTCTAGCCTCTTTTAGAAGATAAACATGACAAATGTTGCCCCAAAATGCTGTCTAGGTAGGCAGCACACTAGGTTTTTTTAGTCTGAGGGCTTTCAAACGTCCAGATTAATTATTAACAGGGGCTGGACCATGGACTTTCTCCCTAATCCTTTATTTATGTCCACAAAACTGGCGTTTTTCAGGAAAGCAAACGGGAGCGGGGTGTTAGCCCGACCAAATAAGCGACTAAACATCCACAAGTCACTGAGGTCACGCTAATAACCAGAAATCTATGACACTGATTGAGTCATCCCAGAAACATGAATCACAACGTGAGATTTACTATTAAAGTAAATATGAACTTACTGTTACGAAGAAGCCGTGGTGAACTAGCTGGCACGGATCGAGGGAAAAAGTGTTTTCTGAACCTCCACAAGTGATGAAAGTCTCTGCGGATGTTTGCACAATCTATAAAAAAAGGTAAACATGAATCATTTTATTTAACTGCTACAGTGCATTTTTGATTTTTTTTATGAAATTTTATTTATGCAGTGTCATTTAGAAAAACTGGGAATACAATTACAGCCACTATTCTCTTAATATTTATCTTTTAATCCATAATACTTAACAGCAAACACAAAGTGTTTGCAGAACTAGCAGTAAAAATGAAACACCATATTTACACTTCAAAGCAATTTTACACAGAACCTAAATAGAGTCTATAACTTCGCATCGCTTCTGACAACTTAGTATAAAGCACAAACGTACCTCAGTCTTTTAAATGTGTCTGATGATTTATTTCCAGCTGATCACTTTTTTCTTGTCGGAGCGCAAGAGCGCGACTATTCGGCGTATCTAACAACGATGTGAAGTATGCGCGGAATGAGGGCAAGAATGAAATGAACGCGAAGAACTGAGTTTGCGTTGGGGGCGGGACCGGAGTGACGTCGCCCGCAGAACTCCTAGGCAGTGGGAGGGGCCGCCGCTGAGTGTGTGACTGAAGTGGTGAGGATTTCTGATTCATCAGTGACTCGACTCTTTTGAATCCCTTCACTAAAAGAATTCGTTCTTTATTTGAGTACAGTGGCCTTTCTGAATTACACAATGGAGCCAGTAGGTGGCGACGCGTGAATCGTTTAATCAATCAGTTTATTAAACACCGAAAATAATCCACGAAGTGACTTTTAAAAGAGCATTTTCTTCATCTTTAGGTTTCGTTTTTACATTTTAGTTAATATTTCACATTTATAATTTTTCTCAATCAAAATGTTGCCTTCAGACTCGAAACAGTAGGTTCAACCAATGAAACACTACTTTCACAGCCCGCACTCAAATGTTATTTTTTCTTAGTAGACTTTGAACGCAGTAGACACTTAAAGATATGTATCAGTGCAAGGAAATGAAGATTTGTTCACTTTAAAGATTAGTTCATGAACACTGATTATTTAACGAAACACCAGTAATGTAAACGAATTGGGTAGAAGTTCACGTATTTATAATATCGACAATGTCAAGTGAAGAAGCAAAATTACATTCCCTTTTGAACGGTCTCTCCCGTTGCGTTAAACGCTTATGAGGAAACTCCTGTTTACTCTGAATACTGAAGCTTGATTGGTTCACGATCATGTTGCTGCATGAACAAACAGCGTTTCAACCCGCCAAAAGGGGTGGAGCCGACTGCTTTATAAGTCTGCTCTGAGTGCCATTTCATCAGAATTTTTCTCCTTCAGAGCGAAGATCATCTCCTCGCTGGATTCTGAAGAAGCAAGAAGCCGGAAGCAAGAAGCCTGCTGCTTGCCGTAGAAGGCAGTGGAAGATCACCAGCAAGCCTTCCCCTGTGGCCATCCAGCGAAGAAGAGCAAATTTCCCGTGACGTTGTTGCAAAAGTCACGCCATGACTGTGGCTCATGCAGGGAATCTCTGCATGATGTAGATGGGCACAGTGAGTGGGTCGCTTGTCTGGGCAGCGACCACTCTGAGGTGGCACTCACCGGGACAGAATGCTCTGATTGCGAGAGCATGAGAGCATTGCCCGGCTCCTCTCGCGGATCACCTTCTTTCACAAAGGTGGTCCTCCCTGGCCTGCTCTCCCATTTCTTCCCTCCCAGGAGCCTAGGAGGAAGAAACAGTGGGACAGCGGGGTTCAAACACTGGGCTCCAGTGAACTAATGCCCGCACGGGTCCCCCACGCTTCACTCTCCCTACAACGCCTCGACTCGCCTGTGTGCTTCACACGTGAGGATCAGCGCCCCTAATCGGCTGCAAGAGGCTTGATTTCCTTCGGCGGGTCTAAGAAGGAAGTTGTTTCGACAGATGCAGAGGACTGGGCGTGTTCCAGCGAAGAGCCCAAAACCCCACCTCTGACGCAGACAACATGGCCCAGTGTGGACAGCGAGCAGCGCAGCATCCTAGACGAGTGGTACCTGAAGGAACGCCATCAATGATCCTACTGCCAACGGCCCGCCCCGTTCTTCCCAGAAGTTCATGAAGAACTCACCAGGACGTGGCATGCCCCCTACTCAGTGTGTCTTCACAACATGGACGAGTCCGGCCTGAGTTCTGATGCCTTCAGAGAGCTGCACACAGTGAATGACTTGGCTCTGCACAGTACCAAGGCCTCTATTTCAGGCATCTGAACCGCACACTTATGAAACGCCCGTTCAAGATGCTGACTTTTAAGGAGATCCTCAACCAAATATGCCCCGGGGATTGGTTTTAATCCCCTCAGCAGACCATTCTTGAGATTTGTGTTTGAGGGAGTGGCTTATCAATATACAATCCTACCACTCGGACCGTCTCTGGACCCGCACATTTTTACAAAGTGCATGGACACGGATGAGACCGATGGGAATCCGCATTATGAATTACTTAGACGATTGACTGTTCTCATCCAGATCGGAACAGGAACTCATTGCTCACAGGTCCTGCTGCTCAACCACCTGGAGCGGCTTGGGCTAAATCTCAATTTAGCCAAGAGCTCTGTCCCCCTGGCTTACGCTCCGGGGCTAGGCTTGCAGAGTGGTTTCAGTCTGCACTTGCTTATAGCACGGCGCTATTGGATGCGTTCCCTATAATCGTTTAACGCAACGGGAGAGACCGTTCGAAAGGGAACACTCTGGTTACTTATGTAACCTTAGTTCCCTGAGATAAGAGAACGAGAGTTGCGTAAGCTGCTGTGCTAAAAGGTTGCAGGCGAGTCAATGACTGTCGCTTCAGTTGAAAGATTCTGACAAAATGGTGCTCAGTGCCGACTTATATAGTAGTCAGTTCCAACCCTTTTGGTGGGTTGAAGCCCCATTTATTCGTGCAGCTACAAGAATGTGAACAAATCAGGCTTCGGGTATTAAGAGTAAACAGGAGTTTCCCCATAAGCGTTTAATGCCATGCTCGTACCCTTATCTTAGGGAACCAAGGTTATGTTAGTAACCGGACTAAAAGGTTTCTTGAAACCTTTTGTGAAAGCTAATAAATCGCTACATTCCCACCTAAAGATGACTGTTTATACTATCTCTCTCTCTCTCTCTCACACATACACACACACACACACACACGTCCTCAGGCACTGTCCAAAAGAAAGTCATTCAGACTTCTTGTTAAATTTTGGATTAATTTCAATAATGTTTACATTACATTAGTCTTCACTGTGTAAAGATAATTTAAACATTAAAGTTTCCATTAGGAAAGCTTCCACACAAGGGTTGTTAACATTGATAATAGAATACTCAATCATTATAGGTACCATTGCCATCTTGTGGTAAAAACAGACTAAAGCTGTTGTCAAGGAAATACTTTGACTGTTTCTACATAACATGAAAGCCCACTATAAACAGAAACCCATTTTGAGTGATTTAATGAAAGAATAGAACCTCTAGTTTATATCCCTTACAAAAAAATTCACCAATCATGGTTTCACAAAAAAGAAAAAAAGAAAAAACATGGTTAAAAAAAAAAAAGGGTAAATGTGAAAATCCTTAAAAATCAAGATGTGCTTTTACAGAAGAACTCATTACAAGTAACTAATTATTTGGTCAAACATCCACCTTAAATCTAATGCTGCTGCTCCTTGTTAAAGAGCTGATACTGTGAAAATAATATAGTGTTTTATTTGATATAATGTGTAGTGCAAGCTGGGTATTTTTTCTCATACGTCTGTTTAGGCACTTTAGGATTAATACATTAATACAAGGATTATACAGCTAATTGCATTTCCACAGGTAAAAGGCGAATGCAATCATCAAAAACATTTATATTCATAGTGTTATTTTCTTTAGTGTTTTTACATCCATCTAGACGACAAGAAAAATATTTAAGTCACAATTATTAGTTGTATAAGGGTATTGTACAATACTCCACAATAATTAACAACATGTTTTGTCTGTTTGTCAAAATAGCTGTCCACATTGACATATTTCCCATTTGAGCTCAATCCACATGCCTGTACCTGGTGAAAAGGTTGTAAAGAACTCGGAGAGTCGATTTTAGGTCACAATTCACAATATCTGGAATAAAACGGAAAAAAACACTCATTTTACAATTTGAGAACAAAAGCTTTCATAGTTACAATTGTCTTGGCCTGAAGAACCCTTGAGCAGTTAAAAAACACAGAGTGCACAGTTTCTTCAGTTCCAGTACATGTTTGAATTGATTTAAAGCATGAAGAGGATTTATGCAATGCCAAATAATGTGCCTGAGTCTTCAAGGACTCTGAACGACATAATGCAATCAACACACACGAATAAAAACCTAGACACACTTTTAACCTGAAAATCATTCAAATACACACAAAAACATGTACACGCACAGTATAAAGAATACTTTGAAACACTATAAACAATAGAGCTGTATTTGTGTAGTATTTATTCACATTTATGTCTTTGACAGACTCTTTTATCCATTCAAGGAACATATTTGATCAGTTCTTGCTTTCCCTAGAAATTAAAGCCATGACCTTGGCGTTTCTAGCAGCGTGCCCTTCTGTTTCAGCTACAGGAAGGCTGTTTTAGTATGTGTATATTATGGAGACTGTATACGGTATAGCATCTAATGTATATTGTGAACTGCTGATTTGTTAAACTAGCTCTAAAGAGAAGGTTGTTATTAATTCCATCTTACTTAGATTAAAATAACTCAATATTATATTAATTGTAACTATAATATTAATACTTTATCTATTATTATTACATATTATTTAACTATTTAAATATTAATTATTCGAAAAGGAGGGAAAAACAGCTAACTGACTATTGTTAGGTAAGGAAAATAGAACTATGTTTTTTTTAATTAAAATTAATAACTACATTTTCTTAACAAAACAAAAAATATTAATTAGCTGAAGGAAAAAGTAATAGCCAACCAAATAACTAGACTAATTTAAAACTAATTTTAATTAAATAAAAGACTATTTAAGAACAGACAATTATATATAAGCTATATTTTTTTATGTTTTATATATACTTATTATGTAACACAAGCCAACCCAAGAATGGCCCGTTTTTTATTTTATTTAAATATGTTTTCAATTATCTCTAAAAACCTTTGTATGTAACATTTAAGAAATGAACATTCAGGTTAAAAGAGGAACTCTTGCGAATTGGGAAAGTATCAGTAGCCAAGTACAGTTCTGACAAGACAAATCTTTTTTAAATGGCCTGTCAACCACACAATTGCAATGATAGGACTTGAAGAAAACAAAGCCGTAATTACCCTCAGGCCTGGGCTTGGGCCTCTCCAGGTCACCGTCCTGCATCAGCTCAAAGGAGAAAGACACATTATGAACCTGCAGGTAAAAAAGAAACTGTCATATTGTGACATCTTGAACGGCAAAAAAGGGCATGTGTTAAAAAAATAATAATAATTCCCAAAACTGGACTGTAGATGGACCTAAAGCAGTTATCTCTGAAGTCCATACACAAGCACTGGATATTAGAAAGATG